AAGAATCGGAAGTCCCTAACAGAAACAAAGCCACACGCACAAATCCCCAAGTCACTGGCAGGGTGTGGTGTGGCTGCTCCTGCTGGACACTGAGGGACAGCCCCCCAGCAAGCAGTCAATATCTGATCTGAGGCCAGCAGGAGAGGAGCCTGAGCTCACTGTTCAGAGAGCTGGAGGTAGGGGGATCGTGTTCCTGGCAGAAGGAACAGAAAGTCCAAAGGCCCTGAGGTACTAAAGGCCTTGGCCTATGAGAGGGTCTGTATTCATGAGGAAAGATGGAGGGGGTCAGAAAGTGGAGAGGATTCAGGCTAGCTCTCAGATCTGCCAGACCTAGGGCTGCAATGTCTTAGGGATGAGATAAAAGCATTGTTATGGTAACTCTTGCCATAGTCTGCTCCTAATTTATAGGAGGCTCCAGAGAGGCCACGCAGCTCGGGAGTGGATAAATTATGATTCAAACCTCTGAGTCACTTTACAACTCTTCCCAAGCTGCTTCTCTGATTACTTTGTGCGTGAGCCCATAGTCCTGGTCACAACCCTTGGAGGCCTTGAGTATTATTTATTATTGAGGCAGACAGCAGCCTTACCTGGCTGGTGTAGTTAGTTCCTCTACCACTGATATAATGAATGTATTTGCCCTTCCCAGCTCTCTTCCTGGTCTCCAAAGAGGAAGCCTTAGGTTGGTGCTTGCCAGCCCCGGTTAATCTCTACCCTGAACCCAAGAGAAAACAGGCTTTACAAGGCGCTCTGTCTCCATCAGGGGCTGGATCGGTAAGAGACCACCTCCCTTCCCCAGCCTGGCTCTGCCCTCCGCAGACCCCTTCAGTGAGCCATAGCCATATGGCCACATGGCTGGTGGCTCATGTCCTGTAGTCCCAGATGAAACTGCCCTTCCGTTCTAGCCCTAGGGCATCCCCGGCACAAGATCCGACACTCACCATAGTAAAACGGGTCTGTTTCTTCGGGAACTGTGGGAAAGAAGACAGAGAAGAGGGGAAAACATGTTTCAACACTGGTTTTCTGGGCATCTTCAAGGACCAAGATGGTCCAAGTGCTTCTTTATGGGACTTGGAGTAGGAAGCCCCCCGATGGTGGACGATACACTGTGTCTCAGTAGAGCACAAAGGATGCTCTCCAGACCCATTCACACATCCGTCAGTGCCACGCCTAGTGTAGTGTATGACCCACACAGCGGTACATGGCAGTCCTGGTCCTAGACCCTCAGAATCATTGTATGAAAAAGTATGAAACACACACGTGTGCATACACACACACACACACACACACACACACACACACACACACACACTCGCACACGCACGTGCACACATGCTGGACCTATCAAAGCCCAGTCTCACCAGAGGACCACCAGATGGATGCAATGACTTCCCTTGAAGACTCCTTCAACCCTCCCAGTCATCCCAGGGCCCTGAGGTCTCAAGTCTGCCCCCTGCAGGGCTCTTCCATCTGCTTAGGCTGTCACCATCTCCAGTATGGGCAACCTGTGATGACGCATATTCTCTGTCACCTAAGACACCAGCAGTTTTGAGAGCTGGGATCAATCTTGTGGCAACTCTGTGCTCCTCTGACAATGAATCTTCTCCTTTATGTGAAACAGAAGGCCCTTAGGTTTCTGAGGTTGGCTTTCTCTAACCTCAGAAAGTACGTGTATGTGCATGTGTGCCTGTGTGTGTGTGTGTGGTGTGTGTGTGTGTGTGTGTGTTTGTGTGTGTATGTGTTTGTGTGTGTGATTGTGTGTGCCTGTGTGTGTTTGTGTGTGTGCGTGGGTGCTTGTGTGTGTGTTTGTGTGTGTGTGTGTGCCTGTGTGTGTCTGTGTGTGTGTGTGTGTGC